GACAGATTTACCTATTTGCCAATGTAAGACTTGATTTAGCAGTGACTACTAAAATTCAAATTATTGACAAGTGCTGAAAATAACTTTTTAGACTATTCTGGGAGATGGAACAGCTTTGTTGTGTTGGCCTGGCAAATCGAGTCCTGTGTAGTTGTATCTGTCAAGGTGACAATCATGGGGGAGTGGGTCTGAGCTTTAGAAGAATGATAGTACAGAATCAAATGGTGGATGTAAAGTGGCTGCAACCATGGAGGTTTGCTCTGAAATTTAGAAGATTTCTAACTGCTGGAGAAATGATGACCAGCTTTGCAGTAGATCTGCAGTAGTGTGGTACTATTAACTGTGTAGTTACAGTATGCTCTTGTCCAGTAGCCTAAGGAGCAGTTAAGAGAAGTTAATGGCAAAATTGTTACGCTGTAACACAAAGCCAGCATCCCATTGCACGCCTCCTTCTTGGAGGGCCAGTGGTACTACAAAGGAGATGTGAAAAAGAAAACACAGAAGGAAGTAGTCAGCCTTTTGCCAAGGGTGCCACACAAATACTGTGACCATTCCTGTGTTTATGTTCTTTACAGTAATTTTTCACTAAGAGAGAGAAATGGTTTGGGTAAACCATAGTAAGAAACAAACTTTGAAACACATTTGTTTCCCTTATGCACAGCTCTGTATATTCTGTTTCTGCAGTGAAAACGGCATTCCAGTGCTTGTTTTAAAAGATCAGAAAGATATTGCCCTGGAAATAACAGTGACGAATAATCCATCTGATGCAAGAAATCCACAGAAAGATGGAGAAGACGCATACGAAGCTAAACTAATTGCAACTTTTCCAGATAGTCTGACCTATTCTGCATTCAGGGAGATGAGAGGATATCCTGTAAGTGTTTTTAAGAGAAAGGGTATTCAAATTTTAAAATGTTTTTAGCGTAAATTGAATTACAAATGTGTTCTGTTTATTCAGGAAAAACAGCTCACGTGTGGTGCTAACCAAAATGGCTCTCAAGCGGAGTGTGAACTTGGAAATCCATTCAAGAGAAATTCCAATGTGAGTTGCACTTACTTTACTCAAGCTATACAACTTGATTCCCGGCTGCAGTCTTTCAAATTTTCTGTGTCATAACTGGAAATTTGGCCTAGATTTGTCTTTTTAACTTTAGAATTTGATGGTGTGTTACTATAATATTGCATACATTAACATCTTTTTTAAAATGTTCACGTTTCCTGGATGCAGGTAACCTTTTATCTGATCTTAAGTACCACTAAAGTGAATGTTGATACAACAGACTTGGACATTAACCTCAAGCTGGAGACGTAAGTATTCTCTGTGCGTGTGTTTGTGTGCATTATATTTTGACATATGGCCGTAAACATTTTGAATTAGTGGTTTTATTTATAAAAGCAATTTAACAGTAAAATGAAAAACTTCTAAACTTGTAAAAATCAGCAGCGTTGTTTCTTTTCCATTGTAGAACAAGCACTCAAGTAAACTCAACTACAATTACAGCTAGTGCTAAAGTGGTTCTTGAACTGCTTTTGTCACTCACTGGGTAAGTTTGATAGCAGAACAGGGGTGCAGGGTGGGGGGAGAACACCTCTGCTGCAGACTTCATTACAACCTGATTTGTTTCCTTGTTCCTGAATAGAGTGGCTAAGCCTTCTCAGGTATATTTTGGAGGTAACATTGTTGGTGAGAGTGCTATGAAATCTGAAGATAATATTGGAAACCTCATAGAGTATGAATTCAGAGTGAGTAATTTAGAGCAGTTTCTCTTTTTATGTGTATTAATTCTCAAAAACATTGCTGGATTTAAAAATGGATTTTCCCGAACTGCGGGAGCAAGATCTGTTTATCTTTCTGTGTTGAAAGCTTGTCATAAACTTGGAGTTTGCTACAGTTGTGTAGATAAATGATTTGTTAAGTCTAAATAGTGGGTGTTTCATATGAAGACAGACTTCTAAACATCAGCAGCTTAATGTTATGAATTTCTGATCTTATAAGCTTGCCATTTAGTTGCCTTCCAGATGTGCTAGCTTTCATATACATTTTGTCTTTTAAGGGTTTTCATTGTCTTTTAGTGGCTTTCTAATTTCCTGTTATCTGCATGACTCCAAGTCAGTAATGGTGATAAATCTCTTCGGAACAGATTGCACAACTTAAAGGAAGTTTATTTTCACAGGTAACCAACTTGGGCAGGCCACTGAAAACATTTGGTACAGCTTCCCTGGACATCCAGTGGCCAAAAGAAATTAGTAATGGTAAATGGCTGCTGTATCTGATGAAAATAGACTCCAAGGGCTTGGAAAAGATTTCCTGTCAACCACAGAATGAAATCAATTTTTTGCACGTTGCGGTATGTTATCCTATCTTCTTGTGTTCACTAATGGCTTCACCATTAAAACACCACAGCATGTGGTAACAGAGTGTAAAAGCTTACCTCCAGAAGGAATTTTTTTTGTCTCAGGAAAGTTGTAGGCACAGTACGTAAACAATATGTAAGGGGCTAAACTTGTTAAGAGACTTGGTAAAATAGATAATGAGGTAAGCTGGAGGACAGATGCTATGTCTTGGTGATTATATCTGCACTGGTACCTTTGGCTCTCACAGGATGAAACTGTTCTTAGCTTTAATGCTTTTCATCAACGTTACTGAAATCTGTTTATTTTCCTACATGGAAAAATAAAAAGTAATTGTTGGCCCAGTACGAGGGGGAATTCCCTGTACTTTTTTGAAAGAGAAAGAGCTTGCACTTACTTGTAGTGTATTTCTTGAAAACAAATACATTTATCTAACAGGAGTTTCATTATGCCAACCTAGCAAGCTTTTCTAATCCCCCTGAGCCCTCATTTTCACTGTTTTTCATGTAATCTCAAGGTCATCTGGAAGAAGTTGTAATTGTAGCTACTAAAACTGCATGTACTTAAACCTATTCTTATCCGTTGATCATTACTAAACTTTCTGTGAGTAATCAGTGTATATTTCAAAAAAAAAACCAAGCCAGTGTGTATTGACCATATCACCTGTAAATCTATTAGCACAGTAACATTGATGCCATATACACAGAACAAAAACAGAAACAGCATGAAAAGCTTTTTACATCTGAAAAAACTCATTGCCATGTCAAAAGAAAGTAGGCAGTTGGCTTTTTAGTGGTTAATCTCAAATTTTCATGGTTCTGTCATTAGCAATGAATGTAGAAAAAGGGGGATATATAACAATATCATACTGATCTAGGAACAAAAGTTATTTCTGTGCCTATATGAAGAGACAGAATTAAGACAGAGTTGTGACAAAAACATTTTATTTTAAAGGAATCCCATAACTCAAGAAGAAAGCGTGAGATTGCAGAGAAGCAGATTACAGACAGCAAAACATTTTCTTTGTTTTCAGAAAGAAAATATAAGACCTTGGTAAGCATACTGCATCTATTAGTCTTGTTGGACATTTCCCTCTCCACTCTTAACAGGGCTTTTTGGAGTTTGACAGTGTGAAAAATGATAGGGCTTTGATTTCTTTGTATCTTAAATCCCAGCATTGATGCTTTTAGAATTTGTTAATTCTTATTTACCTGCTGAGGCGAGAACTATGGAGAAATTCTTTCCTAGTTTTATCTATGCTAAAATAAACACTAATTGCACCTTCATCATAGTTTCCCATTGCTGTTGGCACAAACAGATTTTGGTTCTTGTGCCTAAATACGATGTTTAGAGTCCAATTTTAAATCCTGGTGGAGAACTGTGAAGATGCTTTTACATGTAAAAATTTGTTACTGCAGGACTGCAAGGTGAATGCACGGTGTGTGGACATAAAATGTCCTCTGAAAGGTTTTGACAGCAAGGCATCGATTTTGCTGCGTTCCAGACTGTGGAACAGTACCTTCTTGGAAGTAAGTTCTCTTGCTGTTTCTGAAAGCTTAGAGTTCTTTCCTGTCGTATGTCTAATAACTGTGTTTTATTTTGGAACAGGAATACTCCAAAATGAACTACCTGGACATTCTTGTTAGAGCCTCAATCAGTGTTCCTGCTGCAGCTAAGAATGTCAAACTCACAAATGAAGCTGCTCAGGTAGGTTCAGCACTTAATGCTAGCCACAGATCATGTTATGTTTCCAGCTTATTTCAAAGACTAGAAAAGATAAACTGTTCTAAAGCAAAATGAGCTAATATATTGGATTTTTAAAATCAAGTTTTGAATTTGTGATCCTTTTCACATTCAATTTGGTTGGCAAAACTTGCTGCTATATTGAAACGATACCCCTAGAAACTTTTCTTCAAAAACATTTGGTAAGGAGAGAAGAATGTAGGGAAAAAAAAAAAAAAAAAGGACGATAAATTACAATTTTATATTAAACATGGATGCTTTTGAAATGCTTTTTCAATCTGTTCCTGTTTTCTTTCCTCTAGGTGCGTGTTACAGTCTTTCCTGCAAAACCAGTAGCCCTTTATACAGGAGTGCCTTGGTGGATCATCGCAGTGGCTATTTTTGCTGGAGTACTGATGCTTGCACTCCTAGTATTCTTGTTATGGAAGGTAAGTTTTTACTTATTTGATTATTTCATGTTTCCTGGCATACAGGTGACAAGACAGCAAACAAATTAAGCAAACAGTTAAGTATTTCTGGTTTGCATTTGGGACTCAAAACACAACAAAACAACCCAAAATGTACATTACCTGTATCAGTTTCTCAATTTTTGAACATTTGGTATGAAAATGGTCATATAAGAAAACTCATTTCTATCCTTGGTAGGAAATATTTCTGTTTCTACATCCTCAAAAGGAAATGTCTGAAACTTTGGCCAGACCTCAAAACAGCTGGCCAGAGAGGCTGTAGATACTTCAGTACAGATGGATAATAACTGGGGCTGCTGCGGTTAGCTGTAAAACTTTGTGAACTTTCTACAGATGTTTGAGTAGGGCTTTTTTCTCATGGCATTTCTAATGCTATTAAACTCAAGAGCAGACGGAAAAAAAATTACAACAACAAAAGATGCAGAAATAACACATTACCTGTGTGTTCAGTTTCTTTTGGATGGGCTCCTTATCTTAGAAACCCTGAAGGAGTAAATTCATATTTAAAAGGAAAACTTAAGAATTTGAAAAGAAAAAATGCAAGTATTTTTTAAAACACCTTTGGCATTTTTACAACTAACTGTGTCTCCAAGTAGAATAGGGTAGTTATTTTATTCTTATTACTTACTGGCTTCAGCAGTTACTATAAGTTGATGAGAAAGACACTCATTTAGAAAGAGTGGGTGAAGAGGAATATCTTGTCACTTTCCTTTGGAGCAGGTGGTGTGGTTGTACTTACTGTTTGCTATAGATGACTTCTCATAGGGTACTTTTGGTTTCCTCCTTCTTAAAGAAATGGACAGTCTGCTTCAAATCTAATGAATAATCATTAATGTTTTGGTTGGGCTGTTAGGTTACAACTACTAGTCTTCTACTGCACATGAAAATGCTCTCATAAACACTGAACTTCTTTTGATGACAAAAAATCATCTTATGAAGGACAAACACTGTATGTCATAGGCAATTATAGGCTGGGGATGAGACACATGCTCCTGTTGAACAAGTCAAAACATTTACCCTGTGCATAAATTGGTTTTTGTATAGAGAGCTTTTCTGCTCTTTACAGACAGCTTTAGCTGCTACAGACATGCTGTGTAAGTAGCTTTTCTTCAAAAAACAATGCATTAAAATTTTAAAATTAAACCTCTAAAGTGACATTCCTTACACCCCAGGTTATTTTGCTCTTGTACAGAGCAAGTTAGTCCCAGAAGTTCTCAAATCTAGTAACAATAGCTGACTTTTCTTGTGAAAACTTCCTAAAACGTGAGGCAACCAGCCTGTGAAGGGATTATGGAAAAGTTGTTCTAGTCGGTTCTAATAGGTTTAACTCTTCTTCTGGTCCACTGAAATTGACTAAATACCTTGCTTCCTTGTAGTGTGGTTTCTTCAAAAGAAGTAAGAAAGATCATTACGATGCCACATATCACAAGGCTGAGATCCATGCTCAGCCATCTGATAAAGAGAGGCTTACTTCTGATGCGTAGTATTGATCTACTTCTGTAATTGGTAATTGATGATATTTTTTAATTTTTAGCTGTGGTGGCACATGCTGTGGGTGTGGTGGCTAACGATGAAGCTTTTGCTGCATATTTTCTATTAACTTTTGAATTTCAGACTGTCAGTACTTGCTTACTCTGTTAATAGATTTTCAGCTTTTGGTGTACATAAACACAGGTCCTGACCTTGGTCTAAGAAGCTTTTAGTTCTCTAGAAAACATATGGATCTGTTGCAATTGTTTTTAGCCTTTTTAACTGATGTTTTAACAAGTTGGTTTTTTTAAGCTTTAGAGATGGTAACAATGCAGAGTTAATATTTATTTATTTTGCTTTATTAACCTTTTACTGCATGCTTAAAAATAAAGTTGCTAATAACGAAAGGAATTTTCTTAAATAGAAAGTAATTGCTGTGGAAACACCTAATTTTCCTTCAGTTTGGAAAATACTTTTCTAGAAGAAACTTCTCTGCTGAAGCTACCAGGATGCATGACAACTTACATTCCTTTACTCAACTTTTACTCAAGACAATACATGCACGTACCGGATATTAATTAGAGGTGCTTTGAGATGAGGGGTTGGGAAGGAATTCTTATCTAAAATCTGTCAAAACTGCATGTAATGAAATTTTCATTACGAGATGGACCAAATTTTCAGCTATGCTTTGTTGCTGTTTTTCCTCATAAAAGTTTTTTTTATTGCAGTTTCATTTTTAAACTTTTTTTTTTTTTTAACAAGTCAAAAATGAAACCCGACCTCTTATTATTTTGCTAGTAGTATGTAATCACAGGTTGGCACAATGTCTCGTACTTTCAGTCTTGACTTCAGAAACCTATCAACATGTCAAATGTTTGCCAACCATCATCACTGTACCATTGTGGCCAAAGCTTATTTTATTTTGAATATTCATTTCAGTCTTCAGCTGTTAAAAAAAAAAAATTAGGTTTTATAGCGGTTTCGATTAACAAGAAAACTTTTGGGGCGCAAACAAGGTTTACTGTATTTCATAGAGGGAGGTGTTCAGCAGAGAATATTACAAAATTTAAATTTACGTCTGTTTTTCACTCTGGCAAATTAAGCAAGACTTGTGCTCTAGTACTGTACATGTATGGTTTGTTAAGGTAGTGTAGTAGTGATGGTGCTTTGAAAAGACGACCCCTAGTGTACGCTTTCCTTGAACGCCCTGGGAATCTTTCTACAAGTTTAATGGTAAATCACATCAACATACAGGAAGGTAATGAAGTACACAGCTGCCTTTGATTCAGGAGAAGTAAGCTGAACTGTATGTACATCTTTGCTTAGCATGGAGTTTTCTCGATATATGACAGAACAACTTTAGAGGAAGACTCATGTGGTGTGTTCTAAGTCTGTATTTTGTATTGTTTTCTTACCTTTATGAAGAATGTGTTGCCTCTGTAATTGTAGTACTTCCACAGCAACTTCAGTCTAAACTCTTCTTTTTCTCCTCCCCCCAGTGTGGGTTCTTCCAGCGTTCCAGGTACGATGACAGTGTCCCCCGCTATCATGCTGTAAGAATTCGAAAAGAAGAACGAGAGATCAAAGACGGGAAATGCAAAGATCTTGAAACAAAACAGTGGTTCACAAAATGGAATGAGAATGAAAGTTATTCTTAGGAAAAAGTGGTTTCCCTCCTCAAAGTTCAGATAGAGCATAATGCTTTCATTAATGGTAAACTCGTGGACTTACTAATGGTTCGCGGACCTAGGAACACTATGGACATCTTCACTGTTTGTATGTAGATATTACTACTTATACTGCGGCTTCTGTTTGCACAGTTGAAATTGCTTTGTCAGTCCTTATTGGCACTATTTAATTTCCACTCTGCCTCTTTTTCCCCTCTTTCAAATCTAACTCAGGGTTTAGAAGACACTGTGTTGATTTGGGCTCTCTTTTGCAGAACAGGCAAACCCACTCTGGCAGGCTTTTTCCTGTGCTCCTAATGTTCCTGGGAATGCCAGCAATGCATGATTGAGATCAGCATAAATCCTCCAGCCTTCCCTTGATGCGTGATCCCTTACAAACACACTGGCCTTAACATATGTAGCTCAAGTATCGTCTGAAGACCTGCAAATCTATTTCAGTCATAAGCTTTGCTGCCACAGTAGCTAGGGCTTACAAAAAGCATCCTCTTCAGTTGTATGCACAATAGGTCATGTTGCTCAATTTTTAAAATCAGATTATGTAAATCTTGCTCACAACAAATATACACAGGTTGTTTTTTTGTTAGTTTTTTAAAAAAGAGGCTTGAATATTAGATGTACTTTTTGTATATATATATACATTTTAGTCATTTTTGTATTTATTTTTGTTACCAGTTGTCTTTGACTAACTGTCAGGCCAAAGACTTACCTGAACCTTGAAACCACTGTGCTTATGAACTTCAGAAGATGAGACCTGAGGCTTTCATTGCATTTTAATAAATCACTGAAGGTGCCAATGCTTTCTAAAAATGTAAATATTTATTCCAGTGATGTATGTGAGATTTTTTTTTTCATGATATTTGTAACTTGATCTAATAGGAACTACCAGGTTTTGTAATATGACTTTGTACATTACTTCAGGCTATTAAGCAGTTCAGACACCAAGCATAGGTAGGGTTTTTAAGATACAGTTTTATACTTCACTGGAAATGAGAAGTTCTCTGGAAACAGCTTTCCAGCTTTGTTAAGGACTTCCTGTCTGGAAAAGGGTGTTGACTACTACAGCTGTTACAAAGCACTTGACGAGGCTGTATATGCCTAACTTAACTATGAGGATCTGAGCTGATCCACTTTGAGACTACTGAACCGTGTTGAATACCCCAGCTCTTAAGACAACAGCCACAATGCTGTGCTTATCAGCAATCTAATCATTGATAAAACTATATAAAGAGTTTACCCTTTTTCTTTTGTCCTTATTCCAAAGTACTGGTACTCCTTAAGAATGAAGATTAGTTTGCAGTTGTTTATTCCATATAAACCGAAGTTCTGCTCAAGAAGCATGCATGTTAGTTGTTAGCAGTTTAAACTATGCAAAAACCTCTTGGTACTTTTTCCTCTCAGAGGTGAAAACCTGCAATGAGGGCAGTTGTCAGGTGGCTGATTTCTGCTACTAACTTTTAAGATACTTTTTTAGAAGCTATGCTCACCTACAATGCTATCCTTATAAAAAGGGCAGTAATTTAGTAGGCTCTTCTTCCTCCCACTGAGTAATCTCAGTACACGACCCTGATTTTATGAACCCTGACAAATGCATTTAGCTGCTACTCAATTTTTGAGCTTTCTTAAAAACAGCTTATTCACCGAAAGGCTCAGCAGCATAAGAACCAGGCTAACGAGGTGCTAAGATGCTTGACAACCAACTACCCCCAGCCTCTGATTTAAAAGCAGGTTGTGGCCCTCCCCTGTCAAGACCACGAATGTCTTTGCAGTGCTAAACTGAAAATTATTTTCAATAAGTCACATCACTGGTATACTTCTATTTCAAACGATTTTTTTTTTTTAATACCAGCTAACAATGCTACATCATTCCATTATTAGAAATTACCTGTGGATATTTGTATAGAAGTGTGAAATAAATTTTTAAAAATTAAACATTGTTCTGGTAATTGTGGTTTCTTATCATAATTACATGAGATAGTCACAGCTAGGCTCACCGGTACATCAGAAAGGCAAAGTGAACGTTGCAAACAACATTTGTGCTGTAAATATTGCCGTTCCCCCTAGGAGACCTGCCCCTTGTCACAGGGCAGATAACTCAGTCTCACACCTGCAGGCCAACTGCCACAATTCCTAGCACTGCAGCAGCTGGGCTTAGCAAAACTAGTCAAGGATCTGACCTGCCTCTGTACCTATCAATGAAATCTGCTACTGACCGACAACTACTTGGCCACAGGATCCAGTTTCAATTCAAAAAAGACAGAAAAAACAAAACGACACAGGAAAAAAAGTCTCAAAAGAAACCCTGTGGCTTATCTCTAAATTTAAGACATCAGGTCTTCAAGCTGCTTTGCTGAAAGGAAATCATAGAATTCAAAAAGTTAGAAAATACTACTGAGATCATCTAGTGCAACCATCGCCACCATGCCCACTACCCCACGTTCCCACATGCCACATCTACTCTTCTTGAACACCTCCAGGGATGGCGACTCCACTGCCTGCCTGGGCCACCTGTTTCAATACCTCACCACTCTTCCAAGAGAAGAAATTTTTCCTAATATTCCCCTGGCACAACTGAAGACAATGACAATCCCTCTTGACCTATTGCTGTTAGCTAGGAGAAGAGGCCAACCACAAACTCCTCTGAGGTCACTGTAGAGAGTGACAAGTTTCCTGAGCCTCCTCCTGGACAGTCTCAGTTCCTTGGCTGCCCCTCTCAAGTCTTGTGCTCCAGACTCTAAATCAACTTCATTTTGAAGCAGAGCCCTGAAGGTCAGAAGGACACATACTAGACAAAAACAAATAACCAACCAAACAAAAATACCACCAAAGAAAGAAACAAACAACACCCCAAAACAGTGTTTGTTGTTACAGAGCTAGCTCTGCAGCTAGAGCTAGAAATTGCTGCTCTTGAATCACGTCAAAGATACAATATTACTGCAGGCAGGCTGCTTCCACAACTAAATCCACAAACATTTGTCCACAACAAGAAACAACAGATTTGGAGGAACAGTTAAAATGACCTGTACTGTGTATACACATACAACATAGGTTTTAACATAAATAGAAACATCATAGTTGAACCAGCATTCTATATATTCATGCTACACACACAGATACTAGCTATCGTGAGTATATACGCTGGAGTGCCACAGATGGTGGCGTATGTATGGTAGCACAAGTGTACAGAATTTGTACTCATACACAGATAGTTGCATCTGTATATGCAATGCATCTATATGAATATATATACATACACAAGGCTTAACACTTGTGCACACTGTATAGCCTGAGGTACATGACTGAAATCCTAGTGAACCACAGCACTTCACTTATGGTTAACCCACAGCACGGCAGACACAGCTTCCATCAGACTCTTTCAAAGGACGGGGCCGTGCTGGCACAACATGTTGTGGAGGGCAGCTGATAGGTGGGAGAAGAGCAGGTGCAGGGCACTCCAACAAACACCTCAGGCATCACAATGTAAGCTGAGGTGAAAGCCTTTGAAGATTCTGACCTGACACGCTGCAGTGCTATTCCTGCACCAGTGTATCTGAACTAAAAAAACTAAAAATCCAGAACGCTCAGAGCCAGAAAACTGCTGGCCCACAAACATGAGGCACTTTGGGGAACAGAGGGGGTCAGGAGCCTGGACCAGCAGCACAAGGCCAGATATCCCCTATAGAGACCCTGCCCGGTGCAAACCAGAGCAGTTGCTCAGGCCCAGGGCGGCTCTTAAACATCTCCAGAGACAAACTTCTGCAGCCTCTCTAAATGAGGAACCCACGACAGTGGCTGACCAACCTCACAGGAGAAGTCTTCCTACATTTAAGGGGGATTTCCTCCATACAGCGGCCCTGTTGCCAGTCAGTGCTTTTATGTGGCTTGGCCTCCATAGTGCCCAATTTAGCAGGAACTTGCATGCTCTCAGGATCAATCCCAATCCTGCTCTCCCCGGCCTGAGTACCCCTGCTCCAGCTGCTTCTCGCACGCATGTTACTCCCAACTGCTCACTCCTCACAGCCCTCATTGCTCTGTGCAAGGAGCCTCCAGTGCCCCACATCCTCCTCTCAGCGTGAAGCAGCTGCTTACTGCCAGCCTATTTCTAAGGAACACGAAGCACTGCACTGCCCACGTTGCATTACTACACCCCGTGCACAGCCAGCTGTGATCCTCACAAGAAAGCAGCAGTGCTTCACCTCTCCTCAAACCCACAAAAACAAGGGTGCAACTGCAGTGCAAGCTTTGTTTTTCCGATGGAGACACCCACCATCAATTCCAATTTCTGCTTTCTGACCCTGACTCACATGGATGTGGCAAAAATTCACAAACTCGAATTTAATTGCATACTGGATAAAGAGACACAAAGATATCCCTGTGCTCTCCTTGAACCATAGGTAATTTGATACAAATTCATACAGATGACACTCCACATTTTAGATCAACCTTACTGCTATTTTTTATACACTTTTAATTCGACTTGTGTAAAAAAGTAAGGGATGAAATCCACTATAAGTCAACAGAAACTCCATGAAACGTTCCTAGCATAGCAAAAGCAAGGAAGGTTACAGATAAAAATGTGAGAGCAAAGACAAACCTTTGTGCAGAGCAAGTGCACCAGCTGAAAAACCAGCTGTGAGCTTCCTGCAGCTTCCAGGTGAGCTCTGAGGAAGAACACAGGACTGTGACTGTTGTCCTCTGAGCTGCTGCACTGGGACAATGGGAAGAGTCCTGCAGACAGCCCTGAGCACCATGAGGTCTCCAAGTGGGCTCTAAGGAAGAAGGCAGGACTGGGACTGGTGTGCACTGAGCTGTGCCAGAACAAGAGAAAAAGGCCAACTGATGGCCCCGAGTGCCCTGCGGCACTCCAGGTAGAGTCAGAGAAGCTCCAAATGCAGCTGTTCCTTTATAGAAGCAGAGGACCGTGATTTGCATGGGAAGAAGGGTTGACAATCAGCATGAAGGCTCACTCCAGTTGCTCCTTCAAGACTTTTTTACAAGTTTGGACCATAAACCATTTAGAAGGACAATACAAAATCATAATTGTAATAAAAAAGCTAAACCAGTAAATATGTCTTCATTTTTGGTACAGTAGTAGTGTGCACTGGGACTACTGTGACCCCTCTTGTTCTCCCCAGCACCAAATGATTTTGCCCTCTGGGGTGACAGCCCAGCCAGCAGCCCCGGGCACACAGCAGCCCAGGGAAGACTGTGGGCTTGGCCTTTGCTCAGCCCTGGGCACACAAGGCTAAGGGGAGCTGTAGGGCAGCAAAGGTGCCCCCTCCATGTCCCCAGTGGTCTATGCAACTGCAGGAACTGTGATGGCTGCCAAGACAGAATTCCTAGCCCATCTGTGGCAGGCAGCACTCCAGCTGCTGGATGGGCTCAGCGCTCTGTCAGTGCCCAGCACTGCTGTAGGAAATGTGCCCAGGCAGCAGCAATAGGCATGAGGAGCCACAGAAGGAGATGGCTCGGAGCAGTACAGAACCCAGCATTTGTTCAGCTGTGATTAGTGACCCCCAGCTCTGCAGTTTCCTGAGATCTCTCTTCAGGCCTCTCTGACCTGGACCGGAGGTGATGGCTCCTCCTGACTGTCATGATACAGAATACATACAGACAGTTTTGAAATAGGACATATAAGGACAAGGGGCTTAAAGCTCATTGTTTTGGGTTTTTTTTCCTCCTCTTAACACAATCTTTCCATTATGATAACCTGACTACAAACAGCAGATGTATTTGAGTTGCAAAGCAAGAAACTCAATGATGGATTTTAAATATAGGCCAGAGACCACAAGAACACAGAACAGTACAGCTTCCCAGGAGCTCTTTTCTCAGGCTTATAATCTTAAAAATGTGGGATTTTCCAGTCCAGTGGGGTAGGGTTATGGCAGTGGGTATGGGTATGCAATTGTACTCATGCTCATAACTGACACTATAGAATATTCTGAGCTGGAAGGAATCCTTAAGGATCACTGAGCCCAAATCCTGGCTCCACACAGGAACATCCAAGATTCAAACTCTAGGTCTCACAGCAGCGTTCAAATGCTCCTTGAATTCCAGCAGCTCAGGGCTGTGCCCACTGGCCTGGGCCACCTGTCCTGTGCTCACTGCACTGTGGTGAAGAACTTTCTCCTAACACCCACCTGACCCCTCTGACAGCTCCATGTCATTCCCTCACATCTGCTCTGGGCTGAACAAACCCAGGGAATTCTCTGATATTTAACAAAACATGTTTCCATGGATTGGTACACAATCAGCAATTTCATAGTGACCAAGAAAAAGCTGACACCTGGACACCAGCACGCAGGTGGAAAAGATGAAACCAGCACAGAATCATTTTGAGCAGCTGCAACAAATTACAAACACCCAACTTACTGCATGTGGGTACTGCTTTAAACTGCTACTAGCTCACAGCTGAGACCATTATAAACCAGTCTTAAGAACAGCAATATGGAAGCCAAGAAGATCCTCAAACTGCATTAAGACTGAGAAGCGTATGATCTCCTGTAAGCAGCCCGCAAGCAGCACTGCAGCACAGTGTTATTAACCTGTGTTTGTACAGGGACAGAAAGGTTGTTGGCTTGCCCCATCAGCCACTACTGCTGGTCAGAGTACAGCCGGGCACCAACATTTCAGGAAAAGACAGAAGTACAAGTCTGCCTACAAACAAATCAGTTTGATCCTGAACCAGCTCTGACCTTCCTGCTAATGTTACTGCTCAGAAAATTGCCTTTGGAGGTGGAGCAAATCAGCACGCGTTCTGCACTTCAATCAATGCAATGTTCAAAACGAAAAGAAACACCACCACCACCGCATAATTAACGATGCCATCCATCCCCAGCACTCTCGCAGGACCAGCGACGCGCTGAGCAGGGTAACATGGCAGAAACAGCAGAGCGACTGCCGGCCTGGCACGGGGCTTCGGCCGCCCGTTCCCAGTACAGCCAAGAAGACTGGGAGAACAGGGGAGAACAGGCCGCGTCTGGCAGTTAATTTCAAGAGAAAAAACCACAAGCATCCATACGAAAGAGAAGCAGCGCGAGGCCAGACCCACCACAGCACCGCTCCGAGCGCCGTGCTGAACGGCAGGGTTCAACACTTCCATCACAGAACACGCGTCAGAACGTCCGCGATCACTCCTAATACCTTTTTCATCGATGTTCCGAGGTTTTCATTTGAGTACAGTACGAGCCTACCAAACACATCTCGTTGCCTCACACGCGCCCGACTACACGGACCTCGCCGCCGCGGCATCCCGGCTTCATTTCTGCCCCATCGGAGCACAGCACCTCTACAGCCCGCTTTCCTCACGCCGCTCCGCGACCTTCCCCGCGCCGCGCGGTCCCGGAGGAGGCGCCCCTCAGCCCGGCCGCCATTTCCCGCTTCTCCCCCCTCGCTGCTTCCCCGGCCCCGCCTGCGGCTGCAGCCCCTCCGCCCTCCCGAGCGCCACCGCCGTACCTTGCCGGAGCCGGGCTTCTCCTGGAGCAAGCGTCGCCTCTCGCCAGGACGAAGGTCGGCGGCCGCCTCGGTAACGCCGGGCGGGGTCTCCTCCCCTCGGAGCCGCCCTCTCCTCCGCCCGCCGCCGCTGCGTGGGGCCGGGCCGGGAGGACGCGCGCCGCCTCGGGCACCTCCCCCGGCCGCGCGGCGGAGGAGGCCGCGGTGCGGGTACGGGCCGGGGGCGCGGCGGGAAATGGCGGTCGGGCCGGGCTGAGCCGAACGGGCCACGCGGGAGGAGCCATGAGGCTGCTGCGCGCCCTACTGCGCTGCGCCTCCCCGGGCAGCATCCCGCAGCAGGTGGACTTCTACTCGCGCTTCTCCCCCTCGCCGCTCTCCATGAAGCAGTTCCTGGACTTCGGTGAGTCCTGCCGCAGGTGTCCCTGAGGGGCCGAGGCTCGAGACGGTCTCGCGCGGCCGACCGCCGCCCCTCGCGCGCGTGGAGGAGCCGCGGGCCTCACGCCTGTGGCCCCGGAGCGGACGGTGCTCGGCACGGGATGGCGGGCCCGGCCAGCTCCTGCGCCGCGTGCCGCTGCTTAACGCCGGCCTCGTGGCAGAACCGGCTTCGGTTTCTGCTTCCTTCCTCCAGAACGGAGCCCAGATGGCTCCTTACCCAGAGGCAAAAGTGAGGCAAGGTTGAAACTCAGCTGGAAACTCGAGATCCGGCTGTCACAGAGGTGGTTTGGTGTTCCGCCAAGCTGCAGCGCTGGGGAGAAGCCGGGGACAGCTGGTACCGATGACAGCTGGTACTTGCTAACGCGGCGACCGAAAAGGCACGCCGGTGAAGCCTGCTGAAAGCCGGCGGCACGCGGGCTTTACGGAGCTCAGGAAACGTGCAACGCTGGCGGAGCGCGCGGCTGGAACCATTGCGGCTGCTCTGCAGTCACGTGCCTGTCTGTCCCCAGCATAAACACCAAGGGCTGCGTGCTGGGGAATGTGTGCGAGAGGGAGCGGAAAGCAAATGCCAAGAGCCAGGCTGGGAATCTGGCCTTGAAAATGAATACGTTGGCAGCAGGATGCTCAGTGTGATTGATGCTCCATGCTAAAACTACAAATATCGCTCCCAGGGTTGAGGAGTGCTTGCAATGAAAAGGGATGTATTGTAGGCGCTGCTCTGCTTCCAAGGCTGTGCAGAGGAAGGTCTGCAAGTGATACTGGAAGGCCTTCATCAGTCCTGAGCGTCGAGCCATACTGCAGTAGGTTCTGTTTCTGTAAGCAGAATAGCGTCATAAGCTGTATGTTAACTTATAACTAGTAAACAGCTGTACTGATCTTTATCTTTCTGTAAATAAAACATAACTGAGAACCCCAGACTTCCTACATAGACGGATTTAAACAGATTCTTTTAAGTATCCTCTTATTTCATCTGTCCATTCATTGTTTGTACATTACAATAAAATGTATCTCATGTTTACAATTCCAGATTTTACAGGAATCTCTCTGTAGTCTTTGCTGCTATTCTATTAAGCAAAGAACCTTGCAATTCAGAGTGATTTTTGACCTCTTGTTTTACTACTAGAATACCAACACGATCATTTTTGCCTTAACATCATAATTTACTTTCAAGGTGTGGTATTTACCATGTCAAAAGGGAGGCCACTTTCTTGCTATTTCTACCTTGACATAAGGTAATCTTGAAAACTGTTGTTTTCAAAATCTGCTTTTCTCGTTTTAGTTCCAATCAGTCTAGTAAATGAAGTATTCTGTAAGCAAATTTTGGTCTTAATCTTACACGTCAGTTGTATCTTGGGTTTGGTGCACAGTGTTTTCTGTAGGACCCTTATCAGTTCTTCGCATAGATTGTGACTGCATGGGGAAACAAAGCATTTGCCCATTCTCTGAAATCTTTTTTACCTTAAGCTGTCTTCTAATTTTGACCCAGAACTGTGATGTGACCTCTAGAGGCAAAGCTACTTTGCAGAATATCATTTGCCAAGTGCATGGGGGAAATTCAAGATTTTGGTTTCATTCTTACACCTTCATTTTGACTAGTTCATGGAATTTTTACCTGAGAATAGGGAAAGGCCAGTAACAGTCATGTCAGAAATGCAACCTGACTAGGGAAAAGAATGAGGCTTCTGGGCAGAGCTTGTATGTAAACAGTGTGTAGTACTGGTAAGCACCATCTTCTTCCCCAACTCTTCCCCTTGTCATATTGAAGGACTGAACTGAGCAAAAACACCAAAGAGATAATTCTTAGGAGTTCCCCGTTGTGAAACACCAAAACTGAGGTAGATACTTCACAGCAGTACATAACCTAGTTAAGCTTAGATAACATTGATGTGGCATTGCTGAAATGTCAGCATTTCTTATCCCCTTTGCCTCCCCCCTCCTTTCTGGCCTAGTAAAACAAGCATTGTGGAAGTGAATTTATGCCTTGACTTAATAACTGTATATAATTGATATATACACAGGCTCCTGCAAATAGCTTCCCATGCTGGTTTGATTTGCTTTTCATGAATGATGTATCATTTCATCAGTGGTAGTTAGTCAGTGTTTGCTACACATGAAACAAGCTATTTAATTAGATAGAAGTCTTATTTAAAGTTGAATTATATGGGCCAGCAGTTCTTGCAGTAGTTACTCTTAAATATTCAAGATTGTCCTTATCTTTACAGTTAGATTTCATTATGAGTTAACAGTTTTAAATATAAGTGTGCTGCTGCCTTGAAAGAAACATTGGCATACCACACTGTCTGAGTCAACTTTAAAAACTAACCAGAGGCCTCTTAGACACAAACATAAGGGTTTGTATAGCACTTTACCATAAATGCTGACTTTATTCCAGTGCTGTCAAACGTGTTTTTTTGGTCCCAGGATCTGAAAATGCCTGTGAAAAGACTTCATTTATGTTTCTGCGACAAGAGCTGCCTGTAAGATTAGCAAACATAATGAAGGAAATAAGCCTGCTTCCAGACAATCTTCTCAGAACACCTTCAGTTCAGCTGGTACAGAGTTGGTAAGAGGTGTTACTTAATTCCTTCAAGGGTGACTTTCTTCATATACACAGCTGGAGAAGCAACTCATTAAATTCTACAGAAAGAAGTACTCAATATGCTCACAACATGAACATTGTGTAGAATGAGTAAATATCCCAATGGGACAGAAACTAAATTTGAAGACTTGGGAAAAACAAAACAAAACAAAAAAAAGCCTGCAGGAGCAATTAGATAACTGACAAGGGAATTAAAAATCATTAACTATTCATACAGTCGTGTATGAGAATTCAGTAATAACAAAAATCCACCATAGCAGTGTTTAATAGAGAACTTACCTAAAATGAAGAAGCTAGCTGAAGAAACCAACAGTATCTAAATACACAAAATGTTTGCAAAAGAGAATAGAAACTTGTCTAAAAGACAGGTTATTGCAGACTGAGAGTGAGGGCAGAGAAGATAAACAATAGAAAGCTGCCAAAGCCAGAGCACAGCAGGATCAATACAAGGCTATTAAAATTAAAAAGCTGTCCTTTGAAAAGTAAAGTTTGCTTTTAAGTAAGGAGTTTAAGCATTAATTTTTGCGAGATGGAAGCAAAACAAAGGGATTGCTTGGCAACTGCTGATAGCACATGGCATTGTGGAAAAGGCTTTTAACATTAGGAGAACAGTCTGCCATTGAAAGAGTAGCGTTGATTTGGTGACTGAATATAACAAGAGATATCAGTGTAGATGAAGGCTGTGAATGAAACATGAAAGCTTAAATTCTTGTGGTGCTAAATTATGTTGACAGAATGGAGAATTAATTCCACTTGGACAAATGCAAAGCAGAGAGCAATTTCCTCCACTTCTATGCTTACTCACAATCAAAAATTTTGGTGCAACTGTGGATGTTTTTCTGAATGTCAGCTGATGGGCAAGAAGGCAAATAGTGTTAGGAACTGAGTAACCAATGTGGTAGAGGAGAATGTAACCACCCCTGTGTTAGTCCGTTATTCCTCTGAATCACATGCAGTTTTTGTCACTCCATCCTGAACAGAAAAGTCCAGGAGGGATAATCAAAGGGCTGGAACAGTTTCTATGCATGGGGAAATTCTTTGGCTTGGAGATGGCAGAAATATTTAAATCATGAACAAGTTGGGTAAATTTTCTAGAAACAGGAACCAACTAGGGCTGCAAATAAGTAATCAGCCATTGGGTTTAAAATGGAAGGAAGATTGTTTATGCATTTTAATTAAATTGTGGAGCTAATTGCTCTGGAAATTTTGGAAGAAAACATCATGAATGCATTCAGAAATATCTAACAAAATTCACAGGTGATAGATCTGTCGGATATATCAAATAAAATCACTTAGATGCAGCCAGTCTTAGAATATTGCTAACCAAAGGGAACTAAGGAGGTATATTAGCACTAGTCTGTGTCATGTTTCTTTCCTTTAAAGGTATGTCCAAAGTCTTCAGGAGATCCTTGACTTTAAAGACAAAAGTTCAGAAGATTCAGGGGCTATTCACAGGTAAGGATCTGTCATATATATCAATACTGATGTTATATATAAAGACTGGCAGGAAAAAAAGTGGCTTAAAAAATTTCAGCTATCTTTAGTCTCTAGGTAAGAATCACAGTAACATTATCCCTTACGCCCTGGAAGAATGGAACACTGAAACATGGAACAAAGCACTTTTATGCCATATCATTCTGCTCTTGGTTGTTTTTTTTTGTTTTACTGAAGAAGTTATGAATAAATTAAATTTAACCAAATTTTTACCAGTTCTTTGCAATGTTGTCAGTGCTGTATGGAACTTTTCATCCGTGGATTGGATTTGATGATTATTGGCTGACCATAGCTACCATTTGATAGGCATGGAATAATTTGCATGAACATGGTTGGCACAATTTTCTCTTCTTTTGGCATTAATCAATAAAATAATGGTAAGTAAACAGTAAGTGTATGAATCATCACCACTGGTGGCACCATTATTGACTGTGTGCAAGTTGCGTGGAGTTATTTATATGCTACAAAGACTGGGCTGCCTTCTCACTGCAGTAGGCAGACCCGTGGTACTTCTGTACACAACCGTCTTCATTTTCACGGGCAGATACTCAGTTTGCCAGAGGATTAAATTCACTTGGAAGTGAACACC